GCATCCTTTTTTTTGTACGAGTGAAAAGTGGTTCAAATTTCTTAATTGATGTTCTTAAATCCAAGTATCATGGCGGAGAAATATTGTGCCGAATTTGAAATAATATATCGGAAATGGCGAATTAACCCTTTCACTGCTGTTAGCGCCTGTAGGCGTATGCAAAATTCGGAAGAATACAGTGTTCTTAGCGCTTTTCTTGCTCGCACTGCGCTGTTAGCGTCTTTCACAGTTATTTAATTCTTAATTAAATAAAGCAAATTTTAAAACGAAAGATTTTGCAGCCGCGATTGAAATCTGCCGTAGCGAAAGGGTTAAACAACCGGCATTGGTCAATCTGAAAATGCCCATGTTTCGCAAATGACAGTGCAAAAGCTTAATTACTTGGAATACCAAACTACCACGTATTATCATTTTTTAAATCATCCAGATCACTTCCGCAGCGAAGAAACCTTTACGAATCACGCAAACGTAGAAAACACCTTCGAAGAATTTATCGATACCAGAACGCCGAAATTTTACGAAAATGGAATTAAAAAACTTGTCGCTCCTTGGTAAAAATGTGTAGATTATATGGTTCTTATTTTGATTCATAAAATTTAATATAAAAAAAGTTATGCTGATTTAAAGTTGCAGCTCAAATTCGGACATTTCATACGAGGGGGTTAAAGTCATAGCGGTGTAAGTCACAATGTCCTTATTCTGAGAAACAGAGAGTGTTATTAGAAATGATCGAATAAATTCCACAGCATCAAATTTGCTTCTGTATCGTATTCAATGTTACCAGAAAGCCTGTCCCAATTATAACTTACTTCACTTGTCTATTTAACATTATGGCATGTCTAGGTTGCATTTCAGCACTTAGGTCCAAATTTTCGGAAACGTGACTTACATCTCTATGACTTCAACACCCTCATACGTTACAACCTAACACAATGTAAGAGCTACTTTCCTGCATAATCGCCAAGATTATTTAAGTAATAAATATAACAATTAAATAGTAAAATAATGAAATATTATAAATAATTAAATAGTAAAATAATAAAGTAGTATAAATAATTAAATAGTAAATTAAATTTTGGTCGAAACAGGATGAGTACGTTAATATATTCCAAATTGCTGTCCTTTGCTTAAGATTCTAATAGTACAAGCCAATTTCACTTCTTTCACACTCTTTTACCTGAAATTCTAATAGTATAATATATGTCAAAAATACAATATAAAGTGCTTCTCTGCAAAACTAACAATTCTACCTTATACTCTTGCTCGTTCACCAGATATTTAAACATTTATCTCAGCGTGACTCAGGTTTTTCTACTCGTTCTCCGCAAAAATTTCCGTCCGTTGTCATTCATCGTCGAAGTTGATGGTCTTTCGTGCCAGAAAATGGTCTTCGTTATCCGAGCGCACATGCTCGAGTAAAGCGTATCATTTTGCGATCGCGTGACGCGATATTGTATTCTCACCGTACACTTCGCTCGATTGGCGATGAATTTCTGCGGGGATACACTTTTTCCCCCAGAAAACACGAATCCTCGCGTGGACTTCCAATTTGGACGTTACCTGCAACGGACACGACATCTTTCACGACTGATAACAGAGGAAGTGTTCTTGCCACGTCGAAAATGTTAATACCATTTCAGAATGGAAGTGTAACCAGTGCTGCCACCAACTTCCATCGAGATATTTCTTGTAGACAAAAAGTTGTAGGCGAAGGTAACTAACTTTCTGACTCTGCTACGTACACTGTCGTTCATAAGTATTAGGACAACCATTATGTTCGTACAGAAACTATTATACAGGGTGTCCCAGCTGAAGCAGACCACTCAAATGTCTCCTTTGTTTTTAATATCATGAGAATTGTTTGTAGCACGATTTAAATGATTTCCAAAGGAGAATATTATGGAAGAAACAGTTTCTTGTTTCTTGTTAAAGGTCTTTCTTGTTTGGGTAGGAAACATGTATTTTTTTCTATTGCATCTTTTGAATATGCCTGAATCATGAGTTGCTGATGATTTTGAACACTGAAAGGATGATGAAGTTATAAGACAAATAACAAAACAATGACAAAATGAGCAAACAATAAACTTTGTCTTCCGTGATATTCTGCTTTGGAAATCGTTAAAATCGTGCTACAAACATTTTTCATGACGTTAAAAACAAAGGAGATTTTTAAGTGGCCTCTTTCAGTTGGGACACCCTGTATAATTTAACTCTTAACTACAGACATCTGTCTTCAAGACGTTACTACAGACGTGTAGTTTCTCAGACTACCTTGGCAATTTTATTTATTATACCACTGTGTTGTAAAAGTAAATTTAATATACCTACTTTATTTAATGATATATGTAGGTTGCTCAATTAACTTTTTTAGCTATGGTGGTACGAGAAAATTTGTATACGTAATTTGAGTGATTTCGAAGAGTGATTAAGATGGAAGAAAAATTTTACGGATAATCAATCAGAGATAATAGAGAAGCTGTGTATATAATTTGAAGTTAATCGATTCATTAGTTTCTGAGAAATTATGTCAACCAGTTTGAAAATCGTAGGATCGAGGAAAACGTGTTTAAAGTTTTCATGCAATATATGCAGTGATCGTTTTATCTGCACGTTCGATTTCAAACCTGTGTAACTTCATTAATATTTCAAATTCCTTAAAAATTCTTCCTGCAGAATATTCTGGAACCTTCAAAATAGAAAAAGAAGAAGCTGATTTCGTAGATCCAATTCTAACGAATAACTCCGCCATTTTGTAACATTTTGATTTCTTTTAAATTGGAAAATAAAGTTGTAATTTACATTTATATGCTCTGATGAAACCTAAACTTTTCATTTAGTAATTACCTATGAAAAAAAATTCCAAAATATTATCTATTTTTAGACACCTGTATGTGGTGTGTCTCTTTAAAGTAAAAACAATAGTTGTTAAAAACAATAATCTAATTGCAAGTGCAATTCATACTCACTTTAAATAATAGAAATTGTTGGAAGTAATATCTTTATGGCAGATACACAGTAGATAAACAAGTATCTACACGCTATCCTTTTGGTTTTGATATTTATCTGTTAATTAGTTAGGTTCAAGCATATTTTTCTCTGCCACCTGAAGATACTTTAGCTTAAGTATAGAGATATATTTAAGTATAAACAAATAATTTTTGTATTCATTTTGGTATATTAAGTAAAAAAATAGTGTACAAGGAATGATATTAATAATTAAGGAATACAGTAATTTCATAAATTAATCTTCAATTTTAGAAATAAAAAATAGGTGTATGTATGGTAATTTCTTGGCCGAGTGCATTTTTTAATATTTTTTTAATTTAAATCGTTTATATCTTCAATTTAACATGAAAAACAATCTCGTTAATTATTTCAAAAACTACGTATCATAATTTAAATTAAGAATATGAAGCTTATTAATAAAAACACTTTTAACGTGTATCGAACGATAAAATAAAAGAAATAATGAAAAAGTTATAAATTGAACCAATAAAAGTGTTTAAACAATTGAAATAAATAACAAATTAGGATAAGTAGGAAGTCAGAACAAATGTACATAAATACTAACGAAATTATTAATAATAAAAAATAACCTACATACTGAAGTGTACCTACATTATTTTCCATTTCCTATGATATTGAAATAACAACTGTGTAAAATTAACGATTTACACAAATATTCAACAAACAATTGTTGAACAATTATTACGTACAATTGCATAATACTGTATACACAATCTGTACACAGAGTTACATAAGTAGGCTGTCAACTCCTGCTCAATCAGTTCTTCCAATCTGTATAAAACATTGCAACTGACATGTAATAAATTTTCATTTACAATTCTTCAGATACAACTATACGCTACATTTTATTCAGTCATTCAAAACAAGAAAATAAACTAAAAGTTCAAGATCAACGAAAATCGTACGAATTGCCTTTTAAATAATTACCTCTATACTTGTTCACGTCATAAACGAATAATTACATAAAAGTTACATAAGCAACTCTTTAACCTCACAAATGGAAATGCATCAATTTCAGCCACCTTCTTCAAATATATCTGCATAATCGTACGTATTCCTCGCCAGTCGTGCAAAAAGGGTCAAACAAAACTTTAAAACAAGTGGAAACGATTACTAATTCGATCCCACATAAGACCACGTATGCAATTATACAATTTCCCCTTCAATCGATTCTTCTAGCCTATTTCGCAGGACCCGTACATCCAGGCGCTAATTCGACAAGCAAATTTCCTCGATTACCCGTTTTCAGCCGCCGCGAACAATAGCGACGTGGAACAAGAAGCAGAAAGATAAATCTACGCGTAAAAACACGGAAGGGAAGAGAAGCAAACGGGAAGAAAAAGATCATTAAATTCCGCGACCGCGACAAAACGGTTCGCGTAAACGAAACATTACGCACGCCCCCTCTCGCGAGAACGACCGGCCATCTTCCGCCACGCGGCGAAATTAATGAAAACATTCAGGCATCATTCATTAACAGAATGAAACAGTCCCCGGTCGAGGGTGCAGCCGCCTCCGTGATCGCGCGCCCCCAATCTCGCCAGCACTCGCTGCGAGACCTCTCTCGTCGACGGAGAATCTCCCAGGCTTCGTGTATAATCCGTTGGCGCTAGTGTCGGCCGAGAGGTCGGGGTAGGTCGGCAGAACGAGACGATGTACGTTCGTGGGAGGGTACAGAGCGTGGAGATAGTCGACGAGGACGCTGGGTGGTGAGTGCCACCGTTTCGGGTCCTCCTCGGGTCCTAACGTAAGGACCAGGACGCTCCTCGTTTCCCTTCTCGTAATTCAACGCGTTCCACCGCGAAGAATAAGAAATAAGAGAGAAGGACAGATCGATAAACCGGTGGCAGCGGCGGCCAGTGTACTTTAGCTTGCTCGCTTGCTTGCCCTAAGTGCGTGCGTGCGTGCTTGCTTGCTTGCTTACTTGCGTGAATTTCGTGGACCGTGGAGAATCGCACGGGGTGCGGCCGACAATGGTGAAAGCCCCGACCATGGGACCCTCCACCGGAACCCAGGGAATCAGGAAGATTCATCCTGGGCCCGAAATCGCGATGAATCCGAGGAATCTGCCGACCGCGAACGCCACTACACTTCCCAGCATCCGAACAGATGGCAAGACTACCTCGATGTATCATCCCCAGGTACATTAGGATTCCTCATTTTCCAAGACGCGGTCGGTCTTCTTAAATGCTTGATAATGCACGGACACGGGGTAAACGCGTGTAACTGGTTTTTTTCAATTACTCATAAACATTCGCGTTCGTTCACCTTGACTGCTCACGAAGTTTGTTTTGGTACGTGGCTTCGTTCGTCTCTCGCTAACGGTCACTTTCACTTGAGTGTCAGAACGTAGTATGTGACAGCATCTTCCGTTTGCCGTCGCATTGAAGATCGTCCCAGCTAGTACATCGTGTAGAATTATACTTTTTCTATTTGTTCCTTGGCCTTTCTGCTTTTTCTACCACTGGTCCAGCTGCTTTCGAACGCTGCTTTTCGTGCTCGTTGATTAACGATGAATGGAATTTCGACTAGTGTTAATTATGCCGGAAATTAACCTCTATTTTATTCGATCATTATCACCGTTCGCTTTAATTCTCGTTTAAAATGAATTTTGTGCGGATTTCTTTCATTGTTTAGCAAGTTTTCAGATTTGAACACTGTAAAGGAAAACGAGGTTTTTGCTAGTTTCGTAATTTAATGTTATTTCTCTTTTATTATTATTTAACTACATTCCTGTTTTTTCTTTTGAACGTTGTTCAATTAATATTTCAGCTGTGGAATTATTTAATTGTAAAAATTACGCGCGAATTAATGTTTGAACGTTATTCAATCTTTTTCCTTGATTTCTCTTGCTTAAAATTTGATTTCATCGTTTCCTCATTATCGCTAATGAACGGAACGAGCTATTTTCGTGAAAACATTCTTGATAATTCCGTAACCATCTGTGCAATGTGAAAAATTCAACGATGACTATGTTAACAATTCCTTTTTATTTTAAAAGTTGCATGCAGCATCAACAAAAAATACTAGTAACGATATTTTATCGCCTATATGCATAATTAGATTTTATATTTCAGTTGTTTATTCGCGAAATACAGAATAATTTGTAGTCAATGTGGTTAATACTTTTAGCTGTTATTTGATTCTTCTATTTCCCGCGATTCGCGAGATTTGCTTCGGAAATGAATATGGGAATAAATAAATTACCTAAAGTTAACTCTTATGATTAAATTTCACTATCACTTTATTTATTTTCTCATACGCCGAGGAAAAATGTTTATTCATTTCTAATGTGCAGCAAGTACGAAAGATACTTGCACATTATACATGTATATGCTTTTCAATAAAGTGCTTCTCTGGTTACTCGCGAATTTAATCACCTCGGCACCGTGGATACCCGCCACAGAGTATTACTTGTGGGTCGAAAGCAACGAGGTGCGAGAGTCGCACGGAAATCACGAATATCTTCATGTAATACACGTCTTCTGATAAAATTATTATTGATTTGTATAAAAGCTTCTTTAATTACAATTCAAATAAAACGTTTAAAATAATGGAATCGAATATCGCTTTACTAATCCAAGTACAAATAGGTCAAATATATTCAGGAATAAAGTGTAGTGTAATCAATTTTGCAAAACATGATACTGCACACAAATCAATTTTACATATTTTAAAGTTGAACACGTGTAATGCATTTTTTGTCATTTTTGGCATACACGGTACATTTTCATAACAGAATTCTTTCTCTTAGTTTTGTCGTTGTTATGTAAAGGTAAAAAATTTCTACGTTAACAAGAGATAGTTAAAGAAGATTTATAATTATAGTTATACCAAAAATAGCGAAGAAAAGAGTTGATTAAAGTCCATCATAGCTGGTGAAGGGGCTATTCTCTATCATGAGAGATTATTCCTTTCAAATCAAAGTAAATTTGTGTTGAACTGGTAAAAAGTATGTTATAGGGTGGGCCACCTAATTATTTTTTTTAGCTATGACAGTACAAGAAAATTTTTATACCCAATTTAAATGGTTTCCAAGGGTGAATAAGATGAAAGACAATTTTTTTTTAAGGTTATCTATGTGTTTTTAGAAGAATGTATATGTATTTTTTATTGTTTGCTGTAGCAGTCACTGATGTGCATTATAATGTGCACAATAATATGACCATAAAATGACCTTGGATTCTAAAATTTTAAATCAAGTGTGAAAATTTTGTGGAATATTTAATTGACATCTTAATCACCCTTTGAAACCATTTAAATCACATATAAAAATTTTCTTGTACCACTATAGCTAAAGAAGGTAACTAGGTGGTCCACCCTGTATCAGTACCTGGATACTAAAATGGAAGTTACAGTATGAGAATGCTTTTTATTGTTTATATAAAAATATTTATTGAATACTTAATGCAATATTTTGTATAAACAAATATAAAAATGGAAACTAAAAATGAATTAAAATA